AAAGTAATATATATATTATATATTATATATATATATATATATATATACTATATTATATATATATATATATATATATATAATATATACATATTATACACAATCTCTCTCTCTCTCTATCTCTATCTCTCTACTCTCTCTCTCTCTCTCTCTCTCTCTCTCTCTTCTCTCTCTCTCTCTCTCTCTCTCTCTCTCTCTCTCTCTCTTCCTCTCTCTCCTCTCTCTCTCTCTCTCTCTATATCTCTCTCTCTCTCTCTCTCTCTCTCTCTCTCTCTCTCTCTCTCTCTCTCTCTCTCTCTCTCTCTTCTCTCTCTCTCTCTCTCTCTCTCTCTCTCTCTCTCTCTCTCTCTCTCTCTCTCTCTCTCTCTCTCTCTCTCTCTCTCTCTCTCTCTCTCTCTCTCTCTCTCTCTCTCTCTCTCTCTCTCTCTCTCTCTCTCTCTCTCTCTCTCTCTCTCTCTCTCTCTCTCTCTCTCTCTCTCTCTCTCTCTCTCTCTCTCTCTCTCTCTCTCTCTCTCTCTCTCTCTCTCTCTCTCTCTCTCTCTCTCTCTCTCTCTCTCTCTCTCTCTCTCTCTCTCTCTCTCTCTCTCTCTCTCTCTCTCTCTCTCTCTCTCTCTCTCTCTCTCTCTCTCGATATGAATATATACGTGTGTATGTATACAGTATTTGTCTATTTATTCATACACCTGTGCTGAAGGACGGTTTTCCCATGTGGCACCATGGGTGTCAAGACGCAGCATCATACGCAAAATTGGTTTAGGGTCTTTTTGGTCACACCGCACAGCAACGCCTTTTGTGAGGATTAAAGTATTAACGGTCAGGTCGCAAGTTTGTACAGCCCTGTCACCAAGAGATACCAAAATGCGTGCTAGCCACGAAGGCGCGAGAACATTCGCTGGGTATAATGATGGACGCTCTTGCATGAATCGGCGCTAATATTAAAGAACTAATTTTCCTCATGGATGCGCATTTCATTGCTTGAAAATAAGGCATAACTAGTTTTGAAAACTACTGCCCTTACATTGCATTCCCCACGAACTGTATCAAGGCCCCTGAGCACCTGTAAAGCTGACGATCCCGTCGCTATGTCCAGTGCCGGCGTTTTCCGGGTAGTCCGTTGTTGGTGCGCATAATTGAGTATTTGGTGGAACTTTGGCGCTGGATTGTGTTTTGTGGATGCCCATTGACTGGAAGAATAGAGTCATAGTTTGCAATTTGCAATCTCCGAGCAAAGTTCCTTCCTCAAGGTGGAAAAGGCACTTTCACCTGCAAGCATCCCGAGAAACAACGTGACACTGGATGGTAAGCCTTGGATCAAACCATCATGTTCCCTGGAATTAGGAAAACCACTGTTTTTTTTAAGCCCTTATGAACCGATCACACAATAGTTTTGAGCGTTTTGAAGGGACCATGTGTGGCTTTTATACTTTGTGCTACAGCGGCTCTGTCTATGCTCATAAACGGATCCAATCATGGCTGAAAGTTTGCAGTCTCTGGCCTATTTTACGCTTCTTTTTTGGGGATCTAAGTGGGCTTTCTGGTGGTACGTATAAAAAATGCTAACCAGCCGCTCGTATTTATTGTAGATGGCTTTTCTGATGGCTTCTAAAGGTGGCACTCTTGCCTTGTTTTGAATGGTAAACATTATTGTTTATACCCGGGTGCAGCCAGGATTTCGTCAGGGAGGGGCCTGGACCCCAGTAAGTACGTATCACGCCAGTTTTTTACTCTCTGTCGACGTCCCTCTACGATGAAACAAAAAGAGTCGGCCTAAGGAGAAGGCACCGGGACGGTGGGCCCCTCTTTTGGATGCACGCCTGCACTGGCGCGGAACGTAGGAGTTTGCCGATTATTTTTGCGTTCAATAAGACACGAGTCTACGGACAAACAAGCATTCGAGGACGTACGGCACACAAAGAAGCACCTACACAGCCGCCCTTCACTTGGAGAGATGTGCAGCCGCGCGAGAGATGATGAGCACACGGCACCAGCCGCCGCAGTGGCGCAGCAATCTGGACGTAATGAGCCAGCCCCGCCTCGGAGCAGGGTCACGACTACCTGGCCAGACACGTCTGCCAGACAGACCTCCTCCCGCCGCCGAATTAGCAATGCAGATGCAAATTTTGAACATGCAGTGCAGATTCAGCATCACTAATTAGCAATGCAGAATAGTGCAAACGCTTGCCTGCACCGTATCGTGCACATATTGCTGGCCGTCGCTGTCTTTGATACCTGAGGTAAAACACCGTGAAACCAGTACGGTGCGGCGGGTTTGCGGTACGTGATGAGCTCGGGGATAACAGACGTGCCAATGAAGCAGACTGGCCTTGGGAGCTCATGCACATAGCTTTTAGGACTGTTCTTAACAGTGCTAAAGTGCTTTTGTGTTTGCGGTGTTCTTATTGGAGCATGGCTTCGCGTTGGTACACGCTCTGGCCGCTGCGATCTGACATCACGCGTTAAATTATGTCAAACGTGTGTTGATCTGTGGATTGAGCACGAGAGCGCGTGACTGGGTGCGCCGGCATGCCTTTGCTGATGCGATTGTCCGTCTCTGCTCTGTCTGAGTAGCTGGTATGGTAGCGTCGCGACGTCGGCTGGTAATCTCACCTGGGCTGCCAGCCGCGTTGTGCAGCCTTTTTGCCAACTGAAAGTCTTTAGTTTTTGTGTACATCGAATGCGAAAGAGTACATATTCGTCAAACTGCAATGTTGCGGGAAGTTCATGTTTAGTCTCACAGTTGGTAAGCAAAAGCTTGCAAATTTATGTAGCACAATATTTAAATACATGCATAAACAGTTGCTGAAACTACAAGAAGCTGCGATCCTGGGCCGCCATCCTTTTAGCTTACAGAGGATCGTGTCCGACATCGGTAACATTGTCAGCTCCATGCTCAGTGAGCTGTCTGAAACAGATATCATCGGTGCACACACCCCAGAATTAACTCATCACTCGTGTTTATGGGAGAAATAGTCCGTGCAACAGCAGAGGGCGCCTATTTCCGTCACCAAGTCTTCTTTTACAGGAGTGCAGCTCCTCTGAATGGTTCTGAGCGCCTTTGTGCTGCGCGATCCAGTAGGTGGGGGAGGGGGTACATACGGCTTGTACTTCCACCCCTCTGTTCTTGCTGTGATGTCGTTGATAATACCCACCCCCTGACTAATCGGTTCGTAGGTCGATAATTACGCATTCAAATATACTCGCTTTTCTTTGCATGCCGCGTCGTCTGCTTCTTACACGTGACCGGCGTGTTTCTTACGTAGGACGTGATGTTGTCGGCTAATCTTAGCTCATCTTACAGAAAGCTCTACTCATCGGCTGCCAGACGAGATACGCCGTTGCGTCATATCATCATGACATCGCCATTCACGTACTGATGCCATTGTAGGCTTTGCTGCCATCGAGCCCGATCCTCCCTCACTAATTTATCTCTGGCTTTCATGGATGACACTTCATACCGCGAAAGGTCAGCTCACGTCCGAGGGTGGGCTGGACCGTGCCGAGCATTACGCTCCCTTAAACGTCTGCCACAAACTTCTGCTGTTGGCCTGGTGTTTCACAATCCGATGGCAATGTCAGGACTCACTCTACAAGCACTGCTTATGGTGGGCCTTGGTCCCAGAAATTCGTTCAACTAAGAGGCTCACACTAAATCCAAAAACACCATTCGTTGGAGGCCGCGGGGAGCCGACCCTCGAACAACGAAAGTCGTCTGAGACGACTGGGAGCCCCGGGATGGTCCGGGCAACCACGCAAACCCCAAAGTGCGCCAAGATAACTACCGTCCCATGACATCGCCAAAGGACAAGAGAGTGTCCGGGAGTTCTGAGATACTTACCCAGACTTGCGGAGTCCGGGCACAAAACCTCGCCGCGCCATAACGCAGGCGTCGCCGGCCTGTTACGCGCAGGCAGACGCTGTCGACCATGTCGCTGGATCAGGTGATGATCCCCGGCACGCACAACAGCGGCACCTACAAGCGTTCCCGCAACATCGTGTTCAAGCTGGTGGCCACGCAGGATGAGGACGTCTGGTCGCAGCTGATGTTCGGCAACCGCTACCTGGACCTGCGCATCGGGCACCGGCCCTCCGAACGGTACGTCACACGCATCGGGCACCAGTGCTCCGAGCGGTATGTCACTCGCATCGGGCACCGGCCCTCCGAGCGGCACGTAACACGCACCGGGCACCAGTGCTCCGAGCGGTATGTCACTCGTATCGGACACCAGTCCTCCGAGCGGCACGTAACACGCACCGGGCACCAGTGCTCCGAGCGGTATGTCACTCGCATCGGGCACCGGCCCTCCGAGCGGTATGTCACTCGTATCGGACACCAGTCCTCCGAGCGGCACGTCACACGCATCGGGCACCAGTGCTCCGAGCGGTATGTCACTCGTATCGGACACCAGTCCTCCGAGCGGCACGTCACACGCATCGGGCACCAGTGCTCCGAGCGGTATGTCACTCGCATCGGGCACCGGCCCTCCGAGCGGTATGTCACTCGTATCGGACACCAGTCCTCCGAGCGGCACGTCACACGCATCGGGCACCAGTGCTCCGAGCGGTATGTCACTCGTATCGGACACCAGTCCTCCGAGCGGCACGTCACACGCATCGGGCACCAGTGCGCCGAGCGGTATGTCACTCGCTACCGGACAACAGTCCTCCGAGTGGCACGTCACTCATATCGGGCACCAGTCCTCCGAGCGGCACGTCACACGCACGGCCTGTGGTGTGGTGCGGTGCACGACCATCACTTACGGTTTGAGGTGTCGTGATGTGGACGGCATGCTACGGCTTTTGTAAGCGATGTGTGGTTTGAGGTACACGTCGTGTGGTCGCGTGAGGTATACCACATGCCATTATGGTAGGTGGCGGTCTCGTTGGTTCTTGTAGGATGACCCGAAGTGCGAGGGGTGTTAATGATGTATGTTGGAGGAGAATGGCACTTGCTGGAACCAAGTTTGGATGTGCATAGCCACGTTGCTTAGATAAAGAACATTGCTTGCTAACAGTGCGAGTATAACAGAGCAGAGAATTATCGCATCATAGCAGAGAAATGATATCATGTTATCCGCCTGGTACGCATGTTGGTCGTTGTTGCCAGAAAGCCGTTTTGGATCTACCACGACTTCTTCCCCGTGAGGCCCATCAACTTAATCATCAACCAGGTCAAATGGTTCATGAACAACAGTCGCGAAGTTGTAATCCTCGACTTTCACCGCTTCCCCGTCGGCTTTGAGAGCAGCACGGTAAGTGGTGTGCCCCTGGGGACCAGCTAGTTGTCTTTAACATGAGGTGCGGTTAAAGCGATACTTTGTATTCCAGTTTTGCAACCTGACCCGACAACATCAGCGGAGCCTCGTAAAATGTCTTTGTGGAAGGAGCCAACGGGTGCAATGGCCATGTTAGCACTCAAAGGCCATGGCGCGACCGGGATTGGAACCCGGGACCTCACGTGGGAGTCCGACGGTCCAACAATTCGGCCATTACGCCTCTCCCGTTGCTTGCATGTGAAACTGTGAAACGAGTTGGGTTAGGAGATATACGTGGCCTCAAGCCAGAAAGCACATGTCTACTAAGGGACTTGATGCAGCCAGATGGCACATCCCTCGGTCGAGTGTAAAACCGGGTTTTCCCTGATAGATAAGGGTTTTGTTGTTCTATTGCAGAGACGTTTTGGCGGATAGCTTGCGATTCTAAGCAAGTATTCAAGGGGTCAAGACTTCCTCTGAGACGGAGGCTAAGGCCACCCCCAGTCAAGTAAAAAGCTCCACCCATGCCTGACATTTATAAACGCATGGCGTGCGTTTCACGTCTTAGACTCCTAATTACAAGAAAGCGACCTCAAATCTCAAGAACGCCTAGATCATCCCGAACAATTGATGGTTGATATTCACTTTGCCGATTATGCAGACATGGGTAGAAAACTGCAACATATACGTCATTGCTTAAAGATGAAGGTGTTCGCGCCAGGATTCAAGATTGTGGACGTTCCTCACGATTAATTGCTTCGGTGTTTTTTCAGCTACACATTTCGTGCACCACTCTTGCTATTTCCAGGTGCACGACCAGTTTGTGCAGTATCTGATGATGGAGCTCTCCCGTTGGATGGCGCCGCGGGTGTATGACGTCACCATGGGGGAGCTGTGGGCCTCCGACAAGCGGCTGATCGTGTCATACGCCGACTGGCAGGCGCGAAGGAGGAACGAGTATCTCTGGCCGACCATACCGCAGGTGGGCTGCCCGACAGCTGGTAGCTGTATGGTGCCCGCTGACTGCATCGCTGCTCCCTGCGCTGTATGTGTGGAGCTCATCAGCAGTACACGTTTGCTGTCTTTGAGACACAGGCGTTAATGAAATAACTGTCTGAGCATTGGAAATCGATATCAGCAATGACTGAAAAATTTGACATTTGAATTAAGAGCATTTCAGACGTTGTACTGCCACGTTGCTTCATTTTGGGAACGCGACGTACGTCGTCACGTACATTTCATGAAGTGTCTACGACTGCATCGACCATATTGGAACTCAATGACCTTGGCGCAACCGGGATTGGAACCCGGGGCCTCACGTGGGAGTCCGACGGTCTAACCATCCCGGAGCCTCACGTGGGAGTCCGACGGTCTAACCATCCCGGAGTCTCACGTGGGAGTCCGACGGTCTAACCATCCCGGAGTCTCACGTGGGAGTCCGACGGTCTAACCATCCCGGAGCCTCACGTGGGAGTCCGACGGTCTAACCATCCCGGAGTCTCACGTGGGAGTCCGACGGTCTAACCATCCCGGAGCCTCACGTGGGAGTCCGACGGTCTAACCATCCCGGAGCCTCACGTGGGAGTCCGACGGTCTAACCATCCCGGAGTCTCACGTGGGAGTCCGACGGTCTAACCATCCCGGAGCCTCACGTGGGAGTCCGACGGTCTAACCATCCCGGAGCCTCACGTGGGAGTCCGACGGTCTAACCATCCCGGAGCCTCACGTGGGAGTCCGACGGGCTAACCATCCCGGAGTCTCACGTGGGAGTCCGACGGTCTAACCATCCCGGAGCCTCACGTGGGAGTCCGACGGACCAACCATCCCGGAGTCTCACGTGGGAGTCCGACGGGCTATCCATCCCGGAGCCTCACGTGGGAGTCCGACGGACCAACCATCCCGGGGCCTCACGTGGGAGTCCGACGGTCTAACCATCCCGGAGCCTCACGTGTGAGTCCGACGGGTTTATCATCCCGGAGTCTCACGTGGGAGTCCGACGGGTTTACCATCCTGGAGCCTCACACGGGAGTCCGACGGTCTAACCATCCCGGAGCCTCACGTGTGAGTCCGACGGGTTTATCATCCCGGAGTCTCACGTGGGAGTCCGACGGGTTTACCATCCTGGAGCCTCACATGGGAGTCCGACGGTCTAACTATTCCGGAGCCTCACGTGGGAGTCCGACGGGCTAACCATCCCGGGGCCCCAAGTGGGAGTCCGACGGTCTAACCATCCCGGAGCCTCACGTGGAGTCCGACGGGCTAACCATTCGGCCATTACGCCACCTCCCCTTGCTTGCGTGTGAAACTATCGAACGGGTTGGGCCGAGAGATATAAGTGGCCTCAAATCAGGTAGCACACGTGCACAAGTAGTTTTAATACAGCTACATGTCAAATCTTTCTTTCGGGTTGTGCTTTCTTATGAACCTTACGCAGTTACGCATATGTGTGTACATGTCCGCATACACCGATGCGAAGGGTTATAGTCATCGTGCTTGCGGTGAACACTCGCTATACTGATTGCGTGACATTCTGGCGGGAGCGCGTGCAGTGGCCTAAACCCGCCGGCGTCGGGTGCGTCTGACGCTACAAACACGACGTCAGACGTTCAAAGGTCAGGCATTCGGGGATGGGGGACATACCCACCCTCTGCAGTGTCAGGCTCCAGCCGGAGTAATGGCGCCATGTCGGCAATCGGCTGCCCAGATTGGCTGTCTGCTGCACCTAACGGAATTAACGGCTGCTCACGTTCTCAGACAAGGGCGTGGAAACGGGAGGGGGGGGGGGGGGGCACGCTTCAGGTGCTTGGAAAACATGGACGTTATGGTGCTGTCGGTAACTGTACGGGCTCTCGCGACGAGTATTTGGCTGAGGTACCTCCAATACTTTCCAAGTAAATTTGGGACTTGGGAATTTGATGCCTGTCTGAACGTCTATCCCTGAGCGGCAGGCCAATTTGCTAATGGCGCCAGGTCCCACTTTTCTGGTGTCTTAAGCTTATCTTCCAGACTGTTTCAAAGCGCAACAGTTTGTAGTGTCCTGGTGCCGCTTAAAATAAAGATAAATAGCAAGTATGCCAGGCTTGGATCTGGCAAACAATTCTAGCGCATCAAGACCAAAGTTCCCATAAAAGCGTAACGCGTTGGAGGTCCGTTCCTTGCCCAGTTTGTTCGGTTTGTTTTGCTTTACCTCAACGTCAGGCTTTAGTCTTCTGCATTCTCACACACTTATGCAGGTATGCTCGCAGTATGTGTGCTTGCAGTTACCGGTCGCGCACAACGCACAAAGGACCAGCGGACCGTAGACGTGTGTGTGCCAGGCACGAATGGAGAACGCTGGGACGAGCTGGTGCGATAAAGCAGCCGTAAATGAATTTGTTCCGGTGGAAAAATATTAAAACCATCATAAATCCATTGAAAATTACTGTGGCGGATCTGGAGATCCCATGCCACATTCACCCATCGAGACTTTAGGCGTTCAATGATCATTTCGACCGAAATTAAATGCCTAAACCGAACAGAACCAAAAGATTCATAAGACCCAATATAAGTTTATATTTTCAACACCTAGTTACGGGCCTGGAAACATACAGTTGTGCCCCAGCCCTGGCAGATTCGGGACGAGCGATCATGGCCTGACCTGACCTGACCTGTCCTCTGGCGGCAGGCCTGGGGCAACAAGCGGTCGGTGTCGGAGCTGTACGGCTACTTGCGGCAGCAGATGGTGGAGCGCGCCGGAGGGCCGCAGTGGGCCGCCATGGCCGAGCTGACGCCGTCCCCCTGGGACATCCTGATCCCCAACCGCGGCCTGCGGGACCTGGCGGAGAAGGTCAACCCCGAGGTCACCAAGTGGTTCCGCGACGAATGGTGGCACAGCGCCAGCGTCGTGGCCACCGACTTCTTCCTCGGCAACGACATGGTGGACGTGGCTATCGAGGCCAACATCAAGCGGAAGCAGTGCGTAGCCGGACTGGGCCGCCGCTTCGGAGCTGGTCGGTTCGGCGCCGGCCGCCGCAGGCTGAGGTTCGCCATCGACCAGGCGCCCTTCGGCAGAGCCGTCTGAGCGGCTCCACGGCGCCGACGCATGGCCGCGAGCAGGGAGTCGTACAACAAGCCCACGCGCTTCAGTGTCAGGCTAGATGCGTTGCATTTCCCGGGTCACTGTTCGGAGTGGCGACACGGTGGGTGTCATGTGCTGGTGGCACCCCGCCCTTCCTCCTCGACTCTGCCTGAAAGAAGACCTGAGAGCGTACTGGACACGGACGAAGTCATCCAGCAGTGGTCTGATTGGCATGTTTCCAGCTGTTGCACATACAGTGACTGTGTGTCGCATGGCTGTACATGTGTGTTTGTAACTAGATAATCCTGTGTATACCGTTACAGGCAAAAAATGTTTGGGAGAAGTTCGTAATATTTGCTCGTGGCAGTATGTTCAGGTTCCATCTCCAGAGATGTTAGCTCCACTGATAAATCATGCCGACCGATCCCAACTTGCTTACTGCATCAGTCAACAATCATACAAATATTAACGTTCAGACTGTATTTTAAGACGCGTTATGTATGTCAATGTTCTTGGATGTTGTGTCCGGTACAGAATCCAAGAGTGCGTACCTTGTCAGGAAATACACCAACACAACTCTGATAGGTGTTGTAGCTACCTTGCTTTTCAAAGTGCAAGCTCCCTGGCGACGGTCCTTGACGGCGGCGCGCCGACTGCGGACGGCCGTTCTCGTGCGGGGGAGTGCGCTGATCTGGGGGGGGCAATGGAGGAGCCGCCGACCGGTGGTGCCGCTGCCGGCTAGTCGCCACCGCCACCTATCGAGTGTTGTGGGAAACACCAGTATCGTCGCATCAACAGTTGGTCCCAAGCTTTCTTAAATCTGTATTGGCGAGTTTCGCCTATCTATGGTCTTATGAGCACTCAATAACTCTGTCCGTTGTGTATTTTTTCGTCAAGACCTTCCCGTTAAATTCACTATGCATGTTGCACAATTCTTGGAATACTATGCGTGGCGTCTTGAGATGAGGTGACCGCGTGAAATCAGGAGGTGAGACCGGTGCGGAACCGCGTTGTGACGTATTAGAGGCTTCTAAAACTCCCAACAACTCTGAGAGTTGCAGCAATATCATTACAACTCACATCGTGCCATAATCACAATTGCTTGATTGGCTGTGATGACAGCTTGAAAATGCCGCCAGCTCTCAGCTGCCCTATGATGTTCTTACACACAAGGATGCTATTACAATGCGTCTATGCGTGACTTGTATCGTTTGCAGGCACCAGTACTTGAAGGCCAAATGGATGCAGCCAGGGGGTCGTAGCTTTTAAAAAGCTTTGCCTGCTTTCTCCAATGCTCTATGTCAGATTGATTGAAACGTTACACCAATGAACTCAAGCAATTTTGTTTTCATGCTTTTCGGTATTTCTGGACACGTAATCCTGCAAGTATCAGTGGTTCTAGTGGCCTCCGGTCTTTTTTTTCTGGCTTCCGGTATTTGTTAACAGTCGAATGTTATGCAACACAAGCTGCCAGCACGCCACAGGAACAGCGGTCCGGTCAGCATCTGGAAAACGGCAGGACATACACGAGCCAAACCTGACCATATAGCGATGCCAAACAACTGGAAAATGTTACGAGAACTCAAATGCAACTGCTATGTGAACTATGGCTTTCAACGCGCCTGGCTTTCTTGTCTTGTCTTGCTATGATCTTACTTTCGCTTTGATCTTGTTTTAGAAGCTCGCAATTCATTGAGATCTGTAAAAGAATAGTACGGAGTGGTGGCGCACTGTACTGTAGCGTACGGTCAGAATGGCGGCGTACCGTGCCGTAGTCTACCGTCATGGCGGTGCCGCAACACACTGTAGCGTACTGCCCGGTGGTGGTGTACCGTACTGTAGCGTACCATTGACTGCTTAGCGGCCATGGCGTCACTGACCCCTTACAAGTGTTCCATGCGTGCTCTGAGGGCCGTCAAAGTGGCGACTGAGTCAGGCTCCTTCCACTCTTGCCCTGCGTGCATATGACACAGCATGTCTCCCAAGCATGTATTAGGACGTATGGAGGACGCGTGTTATCACCCCAAATACACGGGAGAGGGTGCCCCAAGCAGAGCAGGATAGCAGCCAACACCTGACTAGATACTGGCAGCGCCGATCACTCATCGGCCACACATGGCCAGGCGGCCTGGATCAGGGCAGCGAGCGCGAGCTGGCCGCTTCTCCGGCTCAGCTGACAGCAGAAGGCTCTCGTCAGCAGGCGGCGACGCCGTGGCCGGGCTTCTGGCCTGATCGCATCACACACGGGTCACCGGCTCCAGGCGCAAAGGCGACGATATGGGCAACAGGCGGCGTCAGGGAAACGTTACAGCGGCCAGCCGCACTGGCGTCTGCTGGCGCCACGCGGAACAGCCGAACCAGTGTATGCTGGAACCACAGCGGCCAGCCGCACTGGCGTCTGCTGGCGCCACGGGGAACAGACGAACCGGCGTCTGCTGGCGCCACGCGGAACAGCCGAACCAGCGTATGCTGGTACTACAGCGGCCAGTCGCGCCGGCGTCTGCTGGCGCCATGGGGAACAGCCGCACTGGCGTCTGCTTGGCGACACGGGGAACAGCCGCACTGGCGTCTGCCGGCGCCACAGCGGCCAGACGAACCGGCGCCTGCTGGCACCGCGGGGAACAGCCGAACTGGCCTCAACCGTCACGACACAACAGTGGACTAGCGTACTAGCATCTATCAACACTGCGAAGGAGAGCTGAGCTGACGTCCAACAAGCGCCACCGTGAGTAACGGCGAATCACTGCTTCGTTATTACAGTGTTGACTGGCTCAACGTCCAGAAACGAACCAGCACGTCCGACAGCTTACTTCGGCTCCAGTCTTCACGATCAGGGGCTCTGCCATACGTCGCAATTGGGGAGGGGGGTCTTCGAGGTTTTTAAAGGCGTTTGCTTTCATACACCGACATACGAGCACTAGGCTCGCAGCAAGTATGGTGCTACTTCGTCCCCCCCCCCCTCCCCCTCCAACCACGTGAAGGAGCTTCTGACCCTCCGTTGCTGCTACCTTTGAGGCACCCTGGGAACCACCATCAGATCCATCACAGCTCCGTCATACACCCGTTATCCGTCACCAGTGGCTCACGGGTACAAAAACAGACGACCCGCCATCGGCCTAGCCGGGCCCTAAACGTTCACCGTATCACAGCAGGTGCCACGGAGGCCCCCGGAATGGTCCGCAAGAGCAACATTGCGAGAGAAGCTGACGCCGCAAGCCGTTGCCTGAACGTGAGCCGAGCAGCCGCAGGCCGCCATCCTCCAGAGTGAGAAGCTGCCGTCAAACGAAAGCGGTGCAGGTGCGGACGCAGCCGCCGCAACACACGGATGGCTCGGCACCGAGTGGCGACAGAGGCAGGAGGGGGCAAGGACGGTCCGGCTCGCCTCGGCCTGGCCGAACCCCGCCCCGAGAGCCAGTCCCGCACCGCTCGCAGTCACAACGGACGAAACCGGAAGGCGACCCCGGTCACCGCCCGCCGCGTCAGCCGGCAGGACGGGCACACCGGCGGCCGCTCACAGCACCAACTTGTCGCTCTCCACGCCCAGCTGCTCCAGAAAGAAGCCCATCGGCGTCCTCTTCAGCACGAGCGCGTCCATCTTGTTCGTCAGTTTGTTCTTGATGTTGCGCAGGCGCATTGAAGCGTGAACCAACATCACTGGGAAAGAAAACAATCCCCTTATTGATCTGCACAGTGAGTTCATATCGGCAACAACCAGACCTACACAGGAAAATTGAGTTGCACTTTGTGTACTCTTTGCAAAGTTGTTGCTAACGTAGCAAAACTACTACCTAGTTTTACAACATTTCTGTAATACGTGCTGGCATAAGAACTCAAAGTGGCACCTTTTTATAACTGACACATCACTGAAGCCCATGCCAAATCCATCAATTGCAGCAATTGACCGTTGTGAATGCGCCGCTTAACGTGTGATCCGGGCGGTCTCTTTCTTGCTACTCTCAGTATTACAACAACCACCTTTGTTCTAGTCAACATCGGTCGTGCCTCTCTGTATGCCGCCCTGCGCCACCTGGAGGAGCGAGCCGCCTACCCCGCCTCCACGCTGACGATGACTACACCAGCCACGTCGGCTCGGCTCGCCAGAAAAGGCCGGGAGGAAATGAGACAACTCAGCATTCTTCGCAGCCGCTCAGCCTCCTCCCCTTCCCCGCGCCATAAGCACGCTTTTCTCTATTCATAACGGGGACTCGGCCGGGGCTGTTCGCCTCCACGCGACGCCAGCTCACTGTGAGGCGGCTGGTAGCGATCCCGGGCATAGTTTGGGTTCAGCGCAGGCGCTCACCCAGCGTGGGCAGGCAGATGCCGAACAGGAACACCATCACCGAGCCGAGCATGTAGACGATGAAGCTGCCGCCAGCCAGGAAAAGCAGCAGGCTCAGTAGTGGGTGATCTCGCTTGAATCGGGTCGCCATCGCCTTGCGGTTGGTGATGTGGTAAAAGATGACGAACATCACGCAGATGGCTAGCATGCCACAGCAGAACTGCAGGGGATGTAGCACTCTGCAAGAGGGCAGCATCGCCAACGCCGTCAGACGGCAGCAACTTCTGCTTGTTAAATTAGGGAATCCAAACGAAGACAAGGCTATTGTTGGCATGTCGTACTGACACGCGAGTACTTGCAAACATCACAAAAAGCAAGTCACACATACCCATGTGCGGCAAAGGAGTGTGACATTACTTGCGGTGTTCAACGGTACAATTTCTGACCCAACATGTAAAACATATTTGTGAGATCAGAACATGGAGCATTATTGGTACGCAAAGTTTTGAAAACATTAACAGTCATTTTTGCCTCCGAAACGTGATCGAACTTTCCAAAAATGGCCCTTGTAATCAGTCCTTGATAAACATCGTTTGTTCTCAAAACAGTGGTCCCACAACAGTGGATAAACGTCGGCGACATTGCGTGTCCCGCTTAGGTCTGTAACCAAATACGGCAGCAATATTTGTTATAATGCCACGCAGGGACGCAGCCCGGACCTTGGCAAGAATGGGGGAGTACAGGGGTTAAGGGTCCCCTGATGGTGAAAGGGGATGTTGGAGGGGGATGGTGGAGGGGCGGTGGAGGTGGAGTGGAGTGGTGGAGTTGGAGTTGGAAAGGGGATGGTGGAGGGGCGCGGATTTCCCACACGTTAATTGGGGGCACAATTTTCTGTTTTATTATTTTTTCCGGGAACAGGCCAGGACCTATCGCGGTATCAATTCTATTTGAATTTTGGACACAATAAAAGGAAGAAATCAGGCGTTAAACGCCTGCATGAAATAGACCGCAGGCGCTCTTTATCTTATAACGGCTGACTGAGCCCTTTCTAAACGGATAAAACTCAGAAGCTTCGCCAGAACTCCAATTTAGATTCTACAGAGATATGGAGGACCCTATGACCGTAGATCGTGGATCGAATGGGCCAAAACTTGTATTCACATGGCCAACCCATGTTCGTCTGGAAATGCTAAATATTCAGTCAGATCAATAAGCAAAAAAAACCATGTAATGTACAAAAACGACATGAACGATCACAAATCTCAATAACCGAAACCTCGACGCCCGGTGTTGCAGTCTCCATAGGGTGCACGGGATTTCCCCCGTAGCTAACCAGTAAGTGGTACCAAACGGGTTGACGAAAATTTGGTATTGGACCTGCAAAATTAAAGGAACAATTTACATATTTTGTTATTTCGTCAACAGAACAACCACAAAATTAAGAAAAATATATGCCCAAGCCTAATCTATAAACAGTACCGATTTATTTTGAATTTTGGAAGCATTATTTAACGATGGTCGTTCTCGCGCGCGCTGCGCCCGCCGCCTGGTGTTACTTACAGAAGCCGACGCCGTTCAATTTTACGGAAATAGCAGCCCCAGCCATCGCTGTTCTTATTCCTGATATCGCAAGCGCGCAGGCCCACAACTTTGTGATACCATTTGTTTCATTTGTTGCTCCTGAAAAGAATGAACATTCTCTGGAAAATATGGCTTCAATGTTTCATATTTTAGCGAGGAGCCCTTCGGTTCCTCTTCGGGTCTGCTCAAACAAAGCCCATGACGCACTCGGGGCCACATGCCGACGCATGACCACTTGCTAAGCACCACGGGCCCCTGTCTGACACAGGGGCCCCGATAATTGTTTCAGGGATCCAGAGCAGTGCAAATTGTGGGATCAGATCGTCACAGAGACAACTATTCGGTGCTGGTGGTTTCTGGCCGACATAGACGCACGCACTGTCTCAGGAGTCCTCAGTTGGTGCAAGATGGTAATGATGATTATCATTATTTTGGGTTTTGGGGCGCATCGACTGCTGTAGGTCGCACAGCGCCCATAACATCATTTTATGCAGAGCCGCAAATCAAACAAGTGTACCAATCAGGTCACCCTACAACCCTTGATGATCAGGCCTCGTATCATGATGAAAAGATTACTAGGAAATCTACAGTGCGAAGAAACTGTAACACTTTACCAAACTCGACATCATGCGGACAATCCCCTAAAAAGTGACATAGCGTACGACTCTGGACATTGCGTACGAAAAAACGCACTCTCGTTGCAGCAAGGTGACGGCAAGCAGCGAGCGCGTGACGCGCGGTCAGCGGATCAGAGCATCGACTACGGCGTGGCCTGTCGTCAGCCAATAAAGGTGACGGTGCGTAGCATATGTGTGGCCTATGCGTAACCGACAAAGGGCAACTACCTCCCTCCTATTGTTGCGAAAACACGACTGCCATAGTCCGATACGGGGTTTCACTAACTTCGGCCTGTTGGCTCTCAGCGAGTTCCAGTGGAACTACCATCGTCTCTGCATAAGCGATGACATTGCGGGGTACATGTCTTGAGCTGGTAGTGGTGTTATAGGAATGCGTGTCTCTGTCGTAGCGCGTTTTGCTGCCGCGTCAGCAAGATCATTTCCGCAGATACCCACGTGACTTGGGATCCACCACAGTGCGAACGTTTTTCCTGTTCGATCCAGTGAGCTGAGACGCGATTGAATGCCCTGGACCAGTGGATTCGACGAGGAGAAGCCACCAACAGCCAGGAGGCTTATAAGCTCGGAAGTGAAGACCGACGCGTGTACATGCAGTGTGAATGACCGTATTGTGGGTCTACACACAAAAGCGCACTCTACGCCTGCACCCGTCTTCGAACCATCCGTATAAGTTATCACGTATCCGTCGAAGGAGGCCATGTGCTATAACGCTACGTCTTTACGTTCCGTCATAAGAACGCGTTGCTTTTGCATGTTTAATAGCGAAACATCCACTCTTGGCGATGCTACGTCTCCCACGGAGCAGTCTTCATGAGTTAAGGTCTGATGACAAGTAGGTTTAAGCCGCTCGCTTCTAGAAATTCTCATATTCGTGTACAAAAGAGAGAAGTTTGTGGTGACGGTTGAAGCAGAAATAAGCTAAACCTTCGTTATCTATGCAAAAACACTGCTTTGCACGTTGGATGATCTGGGAACTGCGCCAGCTTGCACGTGTAGCGAAGTCCCAGAATCTGTCTTCGCAATGCTAGTGGGGGCTCGTGAGCCTTCACCACAAAACTATCCATAGGCGATGTTCGGAATACCCCTGTGGCGATGCGTAGTGCGGCCTGGTGCACGGCGCTCAAAATGCGTTTGATTAGGTCTGATGTACCGTAATAGATAAAACAACCGTAGTCAAGTTTTGAACGAATGAGGGAACGGTACGGGAGAAAAAGCGTCCGCCTATCAGCACGGTATGATGTATGTCCAACGCATCTTGGGATGTTAAGGGATTTTAAACATTTGTCGCGGATATTTCTTATGTCCTCCCCGTATGTCAGGCGTCGGTCAAATCGTATACCGAGAAATTTCACGGTATTTTCGAAGGCGATGCGTTGCCCACGCAGCCTGATTCCCACTTCAGGGCAGTCACGGCGGCGACGACAGAAATAAACTACAGTCGTCTTTGATGTGGAAAGCCGGAACCCCTTGAGCACACTCCACTTCCCCAGACGTATGACAGCCAGCTGCAGCTGTCGCTCCATCATGCGAGTGGTCGATGAGCTCCACCAAATAGCGCAGTCGTCTACGTACACAGAACGGCTGAATCCCATGTGCAAGTGTGTCCTCTATATCGTTCATCATCAATGCGAAGAGAATGCCACTTAATACGCTGCCCTGAGGCACACCATTTTCCTGCGGTACCAGCAGCAGTGGTAAAAACCAACACGCACTCGAAAAAAAATGTCACTCGAAACCTTTCGTAAAATTTGTTCATGTGACCCCGGATGACACGACCGAAAAAAACTTAATCAAAATTTCATGTCTCCACGTGGTATCATAAGCTTTTTTCATGTCCAAAAAGATGGCACCGGTATGACGTTTGCTAATATAGCCGGCCCGCAATGCGGTATCAAGAGTTAGGATGTGGTCAGTCCTGCTCCTGTTCTTACGGAATCCACGCTGAGCATTGGTAAAAAAGTTTTCAAGTCCATGAAAGCTGCACGTTCACCAACCCTGTCATGAGCTTTCAAAGCGAAGATCGGACAACAGTCGAGAGCGTTTGTCCCACTTTTCCCGGGCTTTAAAAAGGCATCACTGTGGCCTCTCGCCATGTCGGGGGGAAGCTACCTGACTTCCATATTTCCAACTGGAAAGTGCCAGCAGCGCTCGTAGTATACGGGGAGGAAAATCCGTACCATGTCATTGTGGATGAGGTCGGGCCGCTCCGCGACACTTCGCAGTGAGCGAATGGGCGCTTGAAATCCCATCTAGTGAAATGCTTGTTGTGCGTCAGTATGTCACCCGTATAAAAATTAACTTGCGAAGTTTCACATCGCGCCGTGTCGCAAAAACCATGGATCGCAGGTGCCATTTCGGCAAAAGTCTGACAAAGCATTCCCAATGGCTTCCGCAACATTACTCGGGCGAACGATGTCTTGACTTTCCACCCGCAGTACGGGAAGTGAAACTGGTGGGTGCAACCCAGCGATTCGTTTAATGCGGCCCCATATATGTGACGTCAGCGTGTGGCGAATCAGCGAGTTGACGTAGATGCGCCATGATTCACGTTTCGCCTCTCATATAGTACAGTGCGGCCTCGTGTGCTTGCCTGAAAGCCATGAGGTTTAATGCACTGCTGTGCCGGTCAAAAGACCTAAAAGCTCTCCGACGTGCGCGAATAGCGTCGCGACACTCTTCGTTCCAACAAGGTGCAGGGATGCGACGGGGGCATCTAGAGGTGCGCGGAATGCACTCTTTCGCCGCGTCCAAAACGAGAGACGTAAATTCCTCCGCAGTCGGAGTCGTCTTCCGGCATAATTGAACACTGCCGCCGGTGCGGTACTGTCTTACCGACATGGTATCATGGTGGTATCATGTCTCACAGACATATAGGACCTGATGGACTCAAGGATACCCCCGATCGGCACAAAGGGCACTCTAGCTTACACTGGAGTGTCCGACCCTGCCGGTGGGCCCCCTGAATATGCAAGGCCCATTTTGATTTAGTGGCAGGGGGTTGCCTTCATCCCGTCTCATCCCCCGCCCAAATATTGTTTGTAGGTGGATATTGTCACGCCCAAATATTGCCTTAAGAAAATCCGGATTTTGCCAGCGCATCAGGGTTCCACAGCGTCGTCTACGTGCCACCTGTTGGAAAGTCACAGCTGTTTTTTGATGACTGAAGTATCATGACACGTTGTAAGTCCCCTTGATGAGATTGATCCATTTGTAAGTGATTCTTATTTTACACCCGTTCATTCACCAGGCTACAAGATTCGGCTACAGACTACTAGCTCCAAAGCTTGGTTGAAGTGGAGCAAAAGGAAACGTTGCCACGAAAAAGGTATGTTTGGTGCAGGAAAGCGTTTAAAAAGGTGTACAGACAACGCTCACCAAGATACGCATGGTACACGGTTAGAGTAAATTATTTTCCCGTAGATATTATAAGTATTTCTATTCCGTTGAAAATGGAAAGTCGTCCTCGCCGGGAATCGGGGACAGCAGCATCCACTGCTCCATTCGGGGGCACACGGCTCGCACCTTACGCTGAACAGTGCCCCTCCAACAGTGCCCGGGCATGGAGCTTGACCCTTCTCTCACTACAATGAAGATCCTTTCTACAGCCGGGATGCGATCTGATACGATGCCCACCTGCGGCGGAGTCTGCGATGGCGTCGGAGCGGACCGTCTCGTGAACCGTCGAATGTATTGAGGGTAGCCGCCGCCGGTACACACTATAACCGGCAGCTTTGTTACCAACTCCACGCCCCAGTCAGGGGCTCGCGGCAGCTTTGTTACCAGATCCGCATCCCAGTCGACGGTTATGTGCTGCCAAATAGCATGCAGGACGGCAAAGGCACTGTTCCTGCTGCTGTTTCCAGTAGACCTGCACAGCCGCACACGAGTTCTGTCCCATTGATTACACCATCAAGTTCGTGGAACCTTCGTCGAAGTTTTCCTTTCTGGTCAGGAGGCTGGCGAACGTACAAAAATACGAGGTCCCCTCCCTCGAACGAAATCAAGCTGCGAGTCAAGTACCCCCCCCCCCCGCCCAAGACTCCCTGTCATGTTTAGTGTCGTGCCACTACAGGTCAACGCGGCAATGTTCGTGCCACGCTGGCGAGACCACGCTCGACTCCGACTGTAATATACGGTCCACCTCGGCGAGTTTTAAATCCGACCAGTCACCCATGAATTATCGATATATCCAAGCCTGTTTCTCGCATCTCAAAGGCTTGCCAGCGCTCGGCATTATGCATGCCCTCACCAAGTGGATACGTACGCCGAAAGTTAACCAACACATAACTTTGACCTTTCGGTGGTCTTCGCAATGCACGAAGAAATGAAAATTAGCAAAGCAAAAACGAAGAGCAGTCAACCACAAATTCCACGCCCAGATAGCTGGTAGCTGGTAGCTGTTATTCCTCATAACACCTATTCAATACATTATTCAGGCATAAACGGCGCAAAATATCGTCGGCGCAAAGAGCATTGCTGGATACAGACACTATCTATGCTAATCTGGACCGTTGCACCCGCAGCGGCACGCCTGAAAGCCTGGTGGGAAAACCCAGCATTGGACTGTCGCTGACAGGTACAGTCCGACTTCGCAACGCCATGTGCAGAACTGGACATTGGACATTGACCGTTAACACGCGCTAGGGTGGGTAAGGGGTCAAATCGACACCCCTTTCCCAAAGGTTTTTCCAGAATGGTTTCCGAACAGCGCGGCGTAGCCGCGCCAAATTTTGCGTAGCTGTAGACAATTGAATAGCAGATCGCTTCATGAAAAAAATACATGTACCTTCTCACGTCGCTGACGTACGGAAGGTCAAAGTCAGGCCATGGTTTCAACGAAGCCAATTTGTAGGGAATCGTTCAATCTAATGCAACAACGGAGTGTTAGACGAAGCCATTCATCTCTGAAATGCTTTCTTAGACAACACAACAACTCAATGAGCAAATTGCATTGACCTAAGGTCAGGTATGAACGTCAGACCAAGGTCAAAACCAACCTGTTTTATTACTCCAGGGCTTGCTGTATGGGATAGTTTCTGGTGCTCATTTCGAATTTGTTGATAGCAGGAACCGCATTCTACATCTTCCATGGACTTCTTAGAGATCAGAATAGGTCATTTACCTAAAATGGCCTCGGCCAAAATTTCGTTTTTGGGAGCATACTGCTTAGCGTAATCTTTGTCGCTTATTCAAATGGAAAACTCCGAGCAGTCTTGTATGATTTTGGTCACCATAACCTTCGAAAGGTCAAACAAGGCCACTGACCTCAAATGAGCATGCAACCTTTTGCTTAGAAACAGCTATCTAGTTTCTGCGGGCACTTAAGAGACCAACCTGGAATATGACATTGTTTGACTTTATTTGACCACGAGTTCATGATCTGGGAACCCCAAATTTTGACCAGTGATTTCACGTACAGGTCAACATACCCTGCGAATTTGGCGTCTCTAGCTCTCAAAGTTCTCGTGACCTTAGGAGGGTCAAATTGCCCCCCCCCCCCCCAACCGAGCGAAGGGTATCCAGCCGGCCACCCGGGCGCGTGTTAAAATCGGCGAGCGCTTGTGTAATGTCCTGCTGCCGACCCCTCCCCTCGCATTACCGGTAACAGTGACAGCTGACCTTACTGCCGATGACCTTGATATGGGATGGCAACACATGACCCATGCACCCGTCATCGGCAGTGTGTCCACCACGGCCTAGCCCAGGGGCTGAGGCGTACGGCTCCCAGCTCCTCACCGACACACACACACAAGCACGTACGCACGTGCGCACGCACGCACGCACGCACGCACGCACGCACGCACGCATCAACAGACGGCCAATCACAGAGAACAGCTCTCGGCAGGCACAACACGCCCGGACTGGGAGCAGCCGGTCATCAGCGCTGGTGCAGTACAGCCGCACAGAAAACAACAGGCTATAGAAGATGTGCACGGGATAGCAGATATGAGATAGGACAAATGTGTAGGATAGGAGACCAGAGAACGAGAGATGGGAGAAGAACAGGAGAATCACAAAAAGGAGGGAGCATGGGTGGTTTTAGTGGCGCTGCTGAAGTCTGGGGTTATTTGTCGACCATGGTTTATCACACTGACGTCATTGGCAACACCATATCCGGTAGAAACGGACGCCAGTGATTTTTGTGACGGAAAAAGTGTCCCGACTCCGAAAGTGTGTTCTGACTGTGAGCTAACCCCACAACGATTTGCCAACTGACACCCAAATACTGCCACAACATCGCTTTACGATTTCATGGAGCAAATACGAGTTGACAATAATCCGAACTACTTTACGACTCACCCAACAACGAGGAATATGATGATAGCCAGAAGAAAGTAGTTTGTTTGATAGTACAGTAGGTTATGGATGACACGGTTTGTCCACTTGTCTGGATCCTTGAAGTTCGGGATTTGAAATCGTGCTGAGTTACAGATGAAGTCATCCATGCTCTTCAGCGGAGCTATTTCCATCTTGTTCTCTGCCATGATGGCCTAAAACATCACGGATCGATCAACCCACGGAAATCATACTATAAGCCCACGAAATAAGCAGATAAATCCATGGAAACATGAAAGTAGACACTAGAATCATCTCCAAGGAAACATTGTATATGAAGTCCACAGGTATTACAAGGTACTAAATTTACACAAAGATCATATGTATGTGTGTAAAGCCCAATAAACATTCGGTCAGGTCACAGAAGTTCAATAACAACAGCCATCTTTTTTAAATGCTTTCATCCTCACAAAATAGCTTTCCAATATGCATGGTGATGCATCTGCGTACATTACTGCAGAATTAGCTGATGCAATAATGCCCATCTCTTACATGTTAATACACATAGCTTAATAGTAGTATTATGCATGCAAAGGGATGTTTTTTCTGTCATATCACTAAAATATGCTACTATACCATAAGGTACCATACCATTAAGTAATAAGTAATGTGAATGTAAACTGATGAAGAAGTCACATGGTTCTTACTTAATTATTGAACAAAAGCCTCAATTGCATACTCTTTTTTGACAGACATACAACTTCCAAGAAGGCAAGTGGCACTGCCCTGATACTAATACAAACTATAATTGCTCATTCCATGAGCAGCAGAGGAGCCCTCATAATGTTTTGACTGTTCTGCAGCTGGTTGCATAAAACTGCATTCTGTTTTAGGAAGGCAAGATATATCATTTCTTTCCTGACCCAGGCCAATCAGCTGACTGCAGATATACCAAGACTCATTTTGCCTGTATGGAGCCAACAGAACAATTAAGCTAATTTAACATAAGTTTATCAGCCCGATGCATTCATCATCTCCTCCAAAACCTTACTGCATGTGCTAGGGTTAGCATGGCTTGAGATGCACAGTATTCATAACAGGTTATATATCACCAAAAAATTAGGTCAACCAGCACAATAATAATTTTACTGGAGATAAATGTCAGATGAAATTGGTTCTACAAGAATTAATTTAAGTGGAGAGTCAAGAACAAACAAAACATGAGACCAATAATGTCTTGACATAAAACACACCAGTCAGAGTCATGAGCATTTCTGGGGTATAAGGCCCAATCAAGCGGCATTTACAGTTTAAATTACTGAGGACATTCAACATGTAAACCCATTCAATCTCCTGAACAGCTTTGTAAAAGTCACTGGCATATTTGGTAGTTTTGCGGCACACTTTTATTAGACATGTGCCTTTGTAACTACTTGAATGGCTACACATGCAGGTAAAAGCTGCTAGGGAGGCTTTAACCCTTAAGTGGCACCTCACACTTGCTCACCACGCCAGATCCAACATTCGATCCAGGCAGCGCATATCTTACCCCCTCGGCATTCTGAACCTCACCGAAGTCACGTGACACCCAGAAACAGAGAATTTAAGACTCAGCTCCTCCAAAAAGGACAAGATGCTTTGATCGTAACGCTGCCCCGCAACACCCCAATACCCACCAACCGTGCCACGAATTAAGATGCGTCCCCCCACCAGCACGGGAGCAATTGTCCAACGTCGTATTGTTCATCGTATCTGCTAGCATGGTTCCATTTCGTGTCTGCGGCCTTGAGTGGTGGCCAGGCCGCACGAAGCTCGTGAAATAATCTATGATGGACACTGCAACTTGCTCCGTAATAATTTTGGAAAGACCTTCCGCTTTAGCTTCCGCCTTTTTTGCGTGGCTCACCCAGTAAAAAGTGCGGCACAAAAGTGGGGATTTTGGTGAAGTTGGTAATGTTCAGGTCCGCATAACAAGTCTACAATATAGGTATACAACAGTACCTAATGTTAGAAAAGAGCATTGTACATCATTTATTGTGCTGAAAGCGGAACGTACCGTAAATAATTATAAAACAGGTAAATTCATGCTCTAACCTTCGAATTTTAATACTTACGAGTGCGAGCCCCCGAGCGCCACAAACACTCGGCGATCTCGGCCTCTCAGTGCTATTGCCACGTTATCCGCGCATGGTCACAACATTGCTGCAAGTCAAGAAGTATAGAAAATGTACGCCGTCACGATAACAATCATAACGCAACAAAATACGTTTCTTATCGCATGTGGGCAAGTTTTCGAAATAGACAGATCAGAATAGTTCAGAACCTTACCTTTATTAGCCTAACCTAACATAACCGAACCTAGTTGTTCAGTGCATTAGCGAGGAACATTAGTCACATAGATAAGACAGTAATATTAGCCTTATCCCTCGGAGAAAAAAAAAACAGGAGAATCGAGATAAAGTTAGGTTGATGTTTCGGCAGCGTGCCTTTCTCGAACCAATAGCAGAAGTGAATTCGAAAATACCTGCCTGTCATCCTACTCGGTTTTTCAGTGTTTATTTTTAAGGCTGCGCGTATACACCCTCCAAAACGGCGAGCGGTTACGCACCGAGGTTATACACCCTCCAAAAATCTTTCAGATGGTTGTGCGTGTCAAGCATACGCGGATTGCCAGTCTTAGAGGGAAGCAAGTGCAAATATGCAGAATCCCGTGCGAAAAGTCGGCTCTATGCGTGATAGGCATCAAACGATCACGAAATCTATTAACTCACTCTGAACAAGTCCTATTCTGATAACAAATTTTCGCCCGCGGGGCCCGCATTCCAAGTGGATGGATAGTTAGTACGCTGGTCTCGCACGCGGTAAGCCCGGGTTCGAATTTCGACGATGGCTGATGCTAAGTGGGTGGCTCCATGGTCTATCGGTGCGGCGAGATGATGCCAGCTTGCTTCAATTCTGAGCGGAGTGAATTCGAATTTGGGCTCTTCATACCGGACAGCAGCGTACTTTCTAATGCCAGAGGGAGGACTAAATATAAAGAGGACTCCATCACTCCAGGGAGAGGGAGTCCGCACCTCACAGAGGTATTGAGGGTCCCGTAAAGATTGACCGTAAATCTAAATGGGGCGAACAACTTGTGCAAACATTAATTGAAAATGTGTAACGTGTAAACATCGTGTGTAATGTAATGTGTAAACATTAGTGAAAAGTTAGATGCACAAGACCGCTCTGGGCAATTGCTTAAAGATCATTCCGTCCCTGCCCGAGGTGTCTGCCAGCTGCCATTCTGGCGACATGGAGGCGGGTTCGCCTGATAGGTTCGTCCGGAGGCCCTCACAGCTGTACGTCATACATTGGTGCCCTCCCTGCCGCGGAAGGCCCTTTGGCGGCTTCTGGCCGGGACATTTGACCCGGAATAGGCGCAAGAGCCCTCATTGGGGCAACAAGAACTCTGATAAACGCAGGTGATCCAATAACTGGCACAGAGACCCATGTTTGACCAACGGACCCTCGGCTAAAATGGGGTGAAGGGCCCCGCAAGGGCCCCGGGTCACCTCTGGCCGACTCGGGACTCCTTCCGTCACAGGACCCCCTGTTGTACACTCTGGAGGCCTGGCCGTCAAAAGACCGTTCGTTGTTGTAGAGATTCCGACCTACGCAAATCGCGGGCCTCGGTCTCGTTCCTGCTAGAGAAATGGGGCCCCAGGGCTCAGAACGATAAGGAGTCAATTATTCGGTGTAGTGGTCTCCGGCCGAAATAGGTGCCCGCACTGTCCCAGTGATTCACAATCGGCGAAAAAGGCATATTGACTGACCTTTGGGATCACAGCCATACGGGCCAGGATGACCTGCAGCCTTTCGACCCTTACGGCCATTCAGCCTTCCCATCGGCCCGTTTATCGTCAGTCTTGAAGGGCACATCGGTCCATCTTCAGGCACCGTCGTACACTCCCTGACCAACTCGGGGACCCCTGTCAACACCGGACCTCCGGTTAGGTGCTGTGTGCCCCTGGGCGACACAGGGGCCCCTCATTGGCTCGGGGTGCACTGACCAATGTAAATAACGGGTCCTGACCTTGTCCCTGCTTGAAAAGTGGGCTCCCAGGCCCAGGCCGGGGCCCAATCGGTGCAACGGGCCCTCTAGTTGGTATTTGAGGGTCCGACCCGCGCCCCCTCAATGACCTTAAGCTAGTCCTCCTGGTCCCATATCGGATTTACAGTGCTCCCATTTGAAATTTCGTCGTGGTCACCTGAATGACACTTCATGCTTAGGATCAATCACTTTCTCCCCATAACAGTCCGACATCAAGGGCAAACTGAGTTCAGGGAGAGGCCAAAAAGTGGAAAATAACAAAAGTATCCCCCAAATCTTACGGCAACAAGCAGGGGAGGATCTAGAGAGGGGGGCCACCGCCCCTCCTTGGGCCTCGAAGGGGCCCATTGGCTCCGGGGGGCCGATAGTCGGCCGAACAGGTGCAGTTTTTTAACACAAAATGCAGCAAAACTGGGTATCTCTGGACTTTCAGGCCACCAAGAAGTTGTAAGGGAAAGTGAATGGCCTATGAGAAGTCCCAAAAATTATTCAATGATTAGAAAAGTTGTGAACTGGAAATTTTAAGCCCCATTATACCGTCTACGGCCCCATGCTGTTTCCGGGGGGGGGGGGGGGCATATATGTCCCTTGCAGGTTCATTTCGGTCGTTTAGGAGCATTCCACGTTGCCCTTCATTTCTTTGCATTTGCTCAGAGGGCCCTGCGCTGTTGTTGGGGCCCTTCCTGTTAGCGTGCCGTGGAACTCTTGTCAATCACAGGCCCCTCCACGGATTACGTCCATTCGCCAGAAAGGCCCTGTGAGCGGTAGCCAGAGTCCCATACCTTAACCTGCTGGGGTATTCTTGGTTGCTCAGTGGCCCTTTACGTGGGTATCGGTTAACCTGCCGACACACTTGCGATATGCCCATGGGTCCTTTACATTGGTCTAGGGCGTTTCCAATTCTCTTTCACTTGATTAGGGCCCAACACTCTTATCGGGGGCCCATCTAATGGCCTGCTTGGGCACACTCAGGTGTTTCATTGTTGCATACACGCTCAGTGCAGAACGATGGGAGTTTATTGGCTGCGCAGGCTTTCAGGCACAATGCGATACACGTGGCTTGGCGCGTCGCAATCCACTCGTGAGTTGGTTATATTTCCAAACGGCGCAGCGGAACATGTTGAAACACAGCCGTAATTCGCTGCGCTACAATACCACAAGTCCTCCCTTCTTGACAAAAACTAGCTTAACGGTACATACTATAAGTCCAGGCACACTGGCGGGCGCTGGTTGCGTACCCGACGAGCAGGCGGCGGAACCAGATCGGCTGTTTCCGTCGTCCGCGCGCCACTGGACTGCGTGAGGCTAGTGTCAGCTTTCGCGGATGAAGCGGACGTCGCTGGCCGGTTGACAGCTTCCGCGGACGGAGCACACGTCGCTGGTTTGCTGTCAGTCGGCTGTGGTGCTGTCACGTTCCTGGGCGCAGCCATGAACGGCTGTGAGGTTAGGCTACCAGGTGGGAAGCGTTTCTCTGTTTCGAGCAGTCCATCCTCTCCAGACGTACAACGGGGACAGATTTGATCGAAGTGACGACGGAACCGACGGCCATCTTGCAACAGAACCTGGCAAGATGGTCCGCAGACATCTAGCACGGTTCCTGGGAGCCACTTATAAGCCGAACCGGTCGCTTCTGTGACGAAGACTGGGTCTCCCGTACGGAACGATCCGTTTACAAAACCGCTCGCCGTGCTGCTGCGGTACTGCCTCTCCTCCGGCGGGTGGACCTGCGTCAGGTGCGTTCTTGGAGCGCGTTTGAACAGCATCTCTGCTGGGGCTTTCCCCCTTGCTGTATGTGGCGTATTCCTGTACTGGAACAACCACCTCTGGAGCTTCATGAGCAGCGGAGCGGGGCGTTGCTTCTTGATTCCGGTTTCACGAGCTTCACCATGTTTTCCGCTTGACCATTAGACGCAGAGTGACGCGGAGGGGTGAAGACATGGCGGATGCCGTTGGCGCTTGTGAAGTCGCCAAATTCTTTACTGGTGGAGCAGCCACCGTTGTCACTCACGATCACTGTGGTGATCCCATGCGTGACGAAGGTAATCCGTAGGTGGTCTACGGTCATTCTTGTGCTGACGTCGTTGGTTATCCAGACGTCTGGCCATTTGCTATAAGCATCCACCACGATCAGGAGCATCTTGCCTTCCACAAGGCCAGCGTAGTCAACATGTACTCTGTCCCACGGAGCGTCTGGGCACCTCCATGGCTGAGAGGGCACTTCAGGCTCTGCTTTCTGGTGTAGCTGGCATGTATCACAGACTTTGGTGAGCTCGGCAATGTCTGAGTCCATCCCAGGCCACCAGATCTGACTGCGCGCACGATGTTTCATAGAGAAAATGGATGGATGCCCTTCATGAAGGAGCTTGAGTGCCGTTTGGCGGCACCGTGGTGGCATTACCACTCGGCATCCCCAGAGCAAGCAACCGCCCTGGATACTCAGTTCGGCATTTCGGCACTGGTACGGCAGGAGAGCTGGCGACACCTCTGACGACTTGGGCCATCCGTACGGGTGTAGTGCAGAATTTCAGAGAGAGCGGCATCTCTTCTGGTCTATTCTCGAGCAGCGACCACAGTAACCAGTACTTCAACAGCTTCAAGCATGTGGACGACTTCCAAGAGCGGAGCTACTGCAGCCTCTGCCACCGTTTCAGAGGTTGGCAGGCGGCTGAGGGCGTGTGCTGCTGCATGCTGTTCTGCATTGCCGGGGATGCGTTCCAGCTGGTACTGGTACTGGTAGGTGTCCAGCGTGACCTTCCACTTCACCATGCGCGGTGGGACGGCTTCTGGCAGGTTCTTGGTTTTCTCGAGGAGCCCCAGGAGCGGCTTATGGTCGGTTCTGAGCGATGGAGGGTCTTCCATACACGAAGCTGTGGAATCGCTTGACGGCGAAGACCAGAGCCAGACTTTCACTGTCGATCTGACTGGAGTTTTTCAGCTTGGTTCAGAGTGTGGGAGGCGAAGGCGATTGGGCGTTCTCCTTCTGGTGTCATCTGAGACAACACAGCTCCTAGGCCATAGGAGCTGGCATCTGCTGACACGATGACTGGTGCATTACCGTCGGAGTGTGCGAGACAGGGAGCCTCTGAGAGAACCTTCGCTGCCCTGAAGGCGTCCCGCTGCTCTGTGCCCCGTCGCCACTCCACGTCCTTCCTCAGGAGTGCATACAACGGTGCGGCAACGGCACTCAGCTTCGGGCAGAAGCGGCTGTAGTGGTTCAGCATGCCGAAATACGTCCTCAGTTGTCTGACGTCTTCAGGATCTGGGGCGTCTCCCACAGATGCCACCTTCTGTTCTGTCGGGTGCAGACCTTCCTTGTCGATCCGCAGCCCGAGGTAGGAGAGGTCAGGCAGGAACCACCGTCACTTTTTTGGGTTGATTCTCAGGTTTTCCTGATCCAGTCGTCTCATGCTTCCCCCTGGTTAGCGAGACGTGCGGCGGCGTCCGGACCTGTGACACAAATGTCATCAAGAAACACCGTGGTGTTTGGGATGTCAGCTAGCAGGGTTTCGATGTGGCGCTGGAAGACAGCAGGATCACTGCTTACTCCCTACACCAGCCTGTTCCCTTTAAAAAGACCTTTCTGCGTGTTGACCACTGTGTAGTCTTGGCTTGACTCTGACAACGGAATCTGCAAGTACGCCTGTTCCAGATCGGTTATTGTGAACTTTTGACCTCCATCAAGTTGGGAGAGAAGCTCCTCCACTTTGGGCAGCGGATATTGCTCCAAGTGACTGGCTCTCTTTACGGTTAGGTTGTAGCTGCCGCAGACTCTCACTTTGCCATGCGTCTTCAACACTGTCACCAGGGGTGCATCCCACTGTGCTGACTTGCAGGGCTTCAGGATTCCGGCTTCGATTTGGCGATCCAGCTCTTCTTCCACCATTGGTCGGGGAGCCAGGGGCACCGGTCGCGGTTTGCAGAACACCGGTTTCACGTTCGGATTTATCTCCAGGTGGGCTTCAGTGTTGGCTTTTGCCAACTCAGGCTTCGTCAGATTTGGGAACTTTTTCAGCATCTTTTGTGCTGTTCCCTCCAGTGAGGCCTTCACATGGAAGATTGCATGCCAGTTGTTTCACCTTGGAAAGCTAATTTCTACCCAGTAGGGGCTTGCTGGATCCACGCACTACAATCAGGGGTAGTTGGCCTCTTGTGTCACTTTCTTGCAACAATCACCTTGACTTCCCCTACCACAGAGATGGGCTCACCTGTGTAGGTTTTCTGTCCCTGTCTGGATTCCTCCAATTTCCTGTTTGGCCACAGCTTGCGGAACAGCTGTTCCCACATCACTGACACTGTTGCACCAGTATCAACTTCCCACTGCACCGGCTTTCCATCCACTTGTACTGCTGTCTCGATTGGACGGTTTTCATTTGCTGTTGTCTCCTGTGTAGACTTGTTGATCCTCAGGAGGTACTCCTCAGGTGGACTTTCATGCTGAGCTTGCAGATTGTGTGCTTGGTCCATCTGTTTTACTCTGGTAAAACCATGCTGACCTTTGTTGCGGCTTGCGGCGTGCCGTTTGAGTGTGACCCCTCTTTCCACAGTGAAGGCGGTCCTGCTTTTTAAAGGGGCACTCCCACTGGCCATATGAGTTGGTTATATTTCCAAACGGCGCAGCGGAACATGTTGAAACACTGCCGTAATTCGCTGCGCTATAATACCACAGTAATCATTTGATGTCTACCACGTATAGAGCCGACTTTTCGCACGTGATTCTGCATTTTGCACTTTCTTGCCTCCAAGGCTGCCAATCCGCGTATGCTTGACACGTACAAGCATCTTAAATATTTTTGGAGGGTGTATAAGCCCGGTGCGCAACCGCCCTCTGTTTTGGACGGTGTATAAGCCCGGTGCGTAACCGCCCACCGTTTTGGAGGGTGTGTACGCACTGCCTATTTTTAAAGGGCAAGAGATATGTTCCTTTGGATTCTTGTTACCGTGGTCCCGTACATTTTTATAGTTCTTGGTGTGTAGTAATGTTGTGACCACGCGCAGCAACGGCGCTAGGGCCGCGGCGGCTGTGTGTCTGCGGTGCTCGGGTGCTTGCTGTGGTAATTGCTTAAATTCCAAGGTAAGAGTATGGGTGTACCTGTTTTACGACTATTTACGATATGTTCTCCCTTAAAAATGATGATTGATGGATAATTTTGTTTTGACATGAGGTATCAACGTATACTATCACTGACCTCGCAAGTCATTTTATCATGAAGCACGCTATCGTGCCTTAAGTAAGCTAATGTGATGGTTGCCTTGAAATTTTGATGACTTCCCAAATTAGAACTTGTGCCACACCTGTACCCCAACAAGATCTCATCAAATTCTGCCACGATTGCTAGCCAGATTTCACGCAAGCATGCCCTGAAAGTATTTCTGATGCCATCTTCAGTTGAAAATTCAGAGCAATGTGGTTGGGGCTGCATTTGGCACAACCATGCTTTGGATGCAGCTCAACCAACATCATCTAAGTATCCAGCAGAATGGGCAGTTTTTTTGTGGTTGACACAATTTGTGTACAATGGAATTGTGGCTTAGCTGGGGCATGCTTAATATTCTGGGCTTTTTTGGTATTCCTTCCTCCTGAAATGCAGTCTGTAGTAACATAGAATGATGCAAGTACAGAAACATAGTCAAACATTGAAAAATTTTCAGCCAACTCATGGATAGATGGACTAGCTCATGGCCAATGTGGGTAGAATTGGATTTTTGATGGTTAAGTAATTGTTATTGCTGAGATTTCATAAAGCTCATTTCTACCTATCTGGATACAGTAAGGTGCAAAATGAGGTGCTAAATTCTGGTACACCTTTGTATGCACTGCTAGATTTCTCTTTAATCATGTGCACCAAAATTTTACCTTATCTGCATAGTACACTTCCTGTGCTATATTCACTGATATATGAATGGTGGCTGATATATATGTATGTGTATATACCAGTCACCATACTTGTCCAAGGGAGAGAATGTTTGATTATGTTAAAATTGTTTCAAACTGTTTTTTCAGCTATCTTGAAGAATTTTGTCCAGACCTCATATTGACCACTGCATACCTTGCAAGCTGAAGAGGAGATGGAAGTTGAAATCAAGCTAGAAGATATTAATCCACACATTACCTGCAAGATTTGCAAAGGATATTTTGTGGATGCCACAACTATTACTGAATGTCTTCACACATGTAAGCTGGTTGTCATCAAGCAACCTATCCTTTTATGCAGATAGGCATATGCTTGTCCTTTCTCTTTACCAAAGTATAAATTGTGTGCACTATGATTGTAGCTTTGGGATAAATGATCCTTATTGTATGAAAGAAATGGTTAATGCTGTTTTGTCAATTATTGCTTGTTATTACACTCCACAAAAGTGGCACCTGATCTCAGAAGCTCCTGCATGTAATCATGTTGCCTCCAGTCTGCAAGAGCTGTCTAGTGAAGCACCTGGAAGAGCGGAACACCTGCCCAGAATGCAGCAGCATCATCCACCAGTCCCACCCGCTGCAGTACATCAGCTTTGATAGGACCATGCAGGACATCGTCTTCAAGCTGGTCCCCAACATACTGGAAGGTAATTACTGAGATAATGTTAGGTACTGTGCCATCTATACTTCAGTCTAAACATTGCAAGGGTCCTAACTGGTCAGCAATGTGGAACCATGTTGGGACAGGGCAGTGTAGGCTTGGATCCTTTGAAGCATGTTTGCCCTGGTTTTACAAGAAGGTGAATGTCCACCATTATTTTTGTGCTGAACTTTGTTATAGTGATTGCACAACACTACCTGGCTTAACACCTCCAGCCCAAAATGTTTTGACTATCATTCAAGTGGCCATCTACAGTTCAGAGTCATTATGCTCAGTCATCAAGGGCAGAATGAGGTCTGTGTCAGCTCTGCCTACATGTCTTCTAAAAAAAGAGACACCTTTTACAAATGATGATGAATAGTTAGGTTGCACAGACACCAGCCAACTGCAGGGATATGTGCGTGGGGACAGTTTTGATCCAGTGCTGCCACCCAGTCCCGCGGCACAGTCATCTCACGCACCGGTGTTTTCCACGCAGATTGCAAGGGAGTGCTTTTGGAACTTAGTCTGCCTCACCTGTCTCGGATGGCATCCTTTCTGGAGCCATCAGCACAGGCCTGTGCGGACTAACCTGGTGTCTATGCCGCAGATGAGATGGAGCGCGAGCGGCTGTTTTACAAGACACGTGGCCTGCCCAACCCCAAGGACCAGACGGCGGCCGAGGACGAAGTCAATGGTGTGGCCGAGGAGGCCGTCAAGGGCCAGGACTATCACCGGCTGGACGAGCAGGTCCGTGTCGCGCCGACGGCGCCGCCCGCCGCCGGCCGGCTGCAGCATACCCGCTCTGTTGTGTGACTGTATGCCTGCTGACGGACCGACATACCCGGCCGCTTGTGACTGTATCTCATCGGCGGTATGGTATCTCACGCCGGTGCTGTGGGATGAACCGAAGCTGCTGCTGGGACGTCATGAATCACACCTTGGCGGCTGTGTGCCGGCATTATGCCGCAGCTTACGGTGTGGGAAACAGAAAGGATACTGACTCTGTTGGGCCTAATCCCATCAACGTCGTTTCTTGTGGTCGATGACGGTGCTAAGTCAGTTCTGCCCATTTGTATTTCGCCTGTTTATAGTTGCATATCATGAGCGAAGTAAGGTGTCCTCCCACGGCCAGCGTACTCACCCTGTGTTCCCCTGGACAGGTCAACATTTCTCTAGCATGTTCAAGTTCCAAACTGAGCAAGCTGAACCGTGAACACATCCGCTGCTCTGCTCAAGCTACTATCACGCACCTCAAGAAGTTTGTCGCTTTGAAGATCCTCAACAGTATGGACAAGTACAAAGAGGTAATACAGAATGCATCGCGGGCATTTCTTGCACCAGACCTGCCATCCAGTGGGGCTTGCTGCTAACTGAGGTGCCTGTTGTACTCCATAGATGGCATGTGTGTTGAGCTGGACTGTAGTCCAAACAAACCGTTAAGGCCACCATCACAACATCCACCTCCCTATCCTTCATCGTTTCATCCAATATCCGCAGAAGGCCTCACAACTGCAGGCATACCGTGGTCATGGGCCACGAGCCCACCTGACGCGCGCCCCGACCAAAGTCCCGCCCGAACGCCTGCTCCAACTGTCCAGGGTCCCCGGCCACAATATATTGCACCTGACGGTGTGGCAGAACGGAGAGCGGAAGCGTGGCATTGCCGGGTGATTTGCGCTCTGCAGCGGATATAGGCTGGGGTGGCCGCTGTAGTGCCCCGCGCCTGACCACCGTCCTCTCAGTCGGGTGTTGTCAGGCCGCATTGGTCTTTGGAGGCCGAAAAAGCCGTAACCGAGCCCAGCTAAAGTGACATTGGGGCTTGTGCAAAGCAGGGTAAGCCATGCGGCGCAAATCACGCGCCGTGTACGCTGCTCCTTAGACGACGTCAACATGGTGTGTTCCCCGAGATCTGGAGACCGCGATCAGTCATTGCACCCCCGTTCCGGTTGGCTGTACTCGTTCTGTTCCCCGCACATGACATGACTGGGACTCGGAGAAGACGTTGTTTGCAATCGTCTGTACTGTGTGCAACGCTGTTCGCACAACATGCTATTTTAGTTCGTGGCGCGTTCTTTTATGCATACTTCGTATTGCGTCTATGGATATTGGCAGACGTGCGGGTACTGGTTTGTCCGAGCTCTCTGGATTACCCGTAGACGTGCCTTTGTTTGGTTTCGCGTGCTTGCAGCATTCGTTCTTTGCGTTTCGTTTGGTTCTGCTCAGATAGCAACGGCTGCTCAGGTTATGTAGGCATACATGTTGTGAACAGTAAGTTTTTTTTTTAGTTATCAATCTACATAATTTTATCTACGTCGATGAAGCCTGTCCTAAAAAAATATAACGCGTCCACTGCGTTCTTGGAGGGCCGTCGGAGGAGCTGACGCCGTCGTCTCCATCCTCAGATCGACATCTTCTGCAACGACGAGATGCTGGGCAAGGACCACACGCTCAAGTTCGTGTTCGTCACGCGGTGGCGGTTCAAGGAGCCGCCCATGCAGCTCAGCTACCAGCCGCGCGAGGACGTCTGACCGCGCCCGTGGACTGGGTGGACATGTCAGCTGTGGACATGTGGACGTGCGCTGCAGCCGCAGACTTCAGCCACGGACCTGCGCGAGCGAGCGTCGATGGACGGCGCCTGTGGGCCGGATGGCGCGTGACTGTCCGTGTGGACGCCCCTGTGGACCGGGTGGAAGCACGACCTCGGTTGTGGCGGCCGCGTCGCAGGTGGAGCGACCCCGAGCGCGCCGGAGGCCGCTGGCCCTCGGCGGGGGGACGCGGGGAGCGTGAGCAGCTGGGCACGGTGCTCAGAACCGGCTGTGAGTGGGACGCGCCGCCGGTCGGGCGAGCGTGCCGGCGCAGAGGCAGACTCGCCCTGCTGGGCCGGGCGTCAGGCGCAGTCGGCAACCCTGGAGAGCACCGCTCTACGCCAGCCATCGTGCGGGGAGGTCTGTGACGCGGACGCTTCGCGCCCTGTCGGCAGGCGTCGGGGGGAGGGGGTTGTGGCGCCGATGGTGGCCACGGTGACCCCCGTTCCCTGTGACGCGATTTTTGAGTGATTTTTTGTGTTTGTTTTCTGTCAGTGGACGTCACTGCCGCAACTCGTTGGGTTTGCTATGCCTCAGGCGCCGTCCGAAGCTCGCGTTTGTCGTGTTGTGTCTGTCATTCGTAGTGTATTGAAGGCGAACACTGGTCCTGTTTTGTGCTCATGAGACGCTCAGATGTCGGTGTGTACCCTTTGACAGCGTCATAATGGCAGTTCGATGCGTTTGGTGTCTGATACTATTCCTTGATGCGTTCTGTACCCGTGGCATTCAAATAAAGCATGGCATGTTTGTAGAAACGCTCTAATGTCTGGATCCCGAGTCACGTGGGACTGTCTGGCTATGAGTTAGCTGAGCAGACCGCCGAGTCTGCTACGCTTCCACATCTGATAGTACTCTGCGAATCCGCACAAACGACATGTCCGTAAAAGGGAATGAGTTGTGCTGGCCAAATAGCACGGCCGCATGCACACTTCGATTAAACAGCGCCCAAGAATTTTCGCCATGCAGCAGATGCGACCAAACGCTGACTGTCACCCATGTCTCGGTCGGATGTCGACAGCTGTCTGCCGAAAGACAGAAATTCTTCGGCGGCCTGGGGCCACTGACGTCATAGTCGGAAAACATCCCGATGTCGAACCTCATCAATCGCTGAAGTTTCTTAGGACTGCCGGTTTGCATGTCATGTGCTCACCTTTTTAGCAATATAACGCTCAGTAAGAGGAGGATTCGAGCCCGAAATGGCCTCAGCAACCGGTGTTCTCCCAAAAGCCGCCAAACGCCATCGTGGATACGCTTTAATAGATACGCATTCTAAGGCTGAACCTCGCTGGTTGGTTAGCTTTCAAGTGTCCTAGCTAGCGATAGAATTGAACGACATAAAAACTCTCCAGTACTACAGCACCCTTATCGGTTTCGATCGCGCCATTCTCGGCTTTTTGCGAGTGTGCTGTCAAATGATGAACCTAGCCTTTATTCTTTGGAAGTCAGCTGATAATTTTATGCGGATACTTTTATTCACACATGCAGCCTGTAGAAGTGGGTATTCGCGCATTTGGTCGCCAGAGACGACCAGGTGAAGCGTGCGCTCGCGCACTGTTGAATGGCTGAACGGGTATTAAGCTGGGTGAAGCAAAGACCGTAACATTTGTCAGCAGATATGCTACTGAAGACCCAAAACAGATCTCTGAAACTCATAAATATGGAGCCAACTGGGATCCAGGATCCACTTTTGGGATCCAGACACATGCATGTTCCCTAGTTGATGCGGGAAGCCTCAGAATGTATCATTGGGTACCAACCGCTCGTGTGAGCATCCGGCCGTCCTTGGCGACCGCGAGCTGAGAGTGTCCGACTGTCGCCAGCCGACCGAGGGTCTCCTGATCACAGGCGTCTCGCGCCCACATGGGCACCAAGTACCTGCTCGTAGTCCCCCAAAATCATTTGTCGAGCCATGTAGCTGCTATCCCATTGCAGCCTCTTAACGGCGTTCCATCTCGAGTCGCAAGTCACAGGTATTCGTTGCTAACTGACCTCGGAGTCTTCCACTGAGTGGCCGTCTGACCTGATTTGATGTCACTTCACAACCCCGCAGCGTTTGTGACGATTAACGCCCCGCCCAATCAATCTAGAAGGACCGCTAACTGACCCTCCAGTGAGCCTCGGCACCAGTGACTAGCTAGCAGCGGGCTGTCAGTGTGATTTATGATTGTGGAATGTGACTGAAACATGACTATGGACTAGGCTGTAGTCATGGCTACCAGCCCAACGACCCCACCCCATAGTATCGAACTGTCCCACCGACGGGTACCTCGCAGGCTCGCTACCGTCCGGTCCACCGCCACCACCATCACCAACATCGCCGTCATCAGCCGCCGACGCTCAGCAACTGACCTGCACTTCACCCCGCTGTCGTCACCCGCCCGGCTGGCCGCCGCCCGTCCCCCGTCGACCCCGCCCCCAGCCCTGACGTCACGTGTCGCGGCTGCGGCGCGGGCCCGCTACCACCGGCCGCCCGCCTGTACCGGCTATGGTAATGCCGCGGGTTCGGCGGCCCGGCGCCAGCGGCCGCACGCCGGCGACCCATGCAAATGCGCCGCTGGTGACGTGCTGATGGATGGTAGGTGCGCGCTGGACGCCGCCGCAGAGCATACATTGTCCCTGAGAGGCGGCGGCGGTGGCGGCGGACGGTGGCGCCGCCGCCGGAGAGGGGTGAGGAGCGGGACCGGCCCAGGCGGCCAGACGGACGGAGACGTGCAGAGGCAGGTGAGCACGGGGAAAGGTCGTGTGAGGGGTCAGACGGGCCGATGGGGTAGTGCAGAGGTCAGGTGGGGGCGGAGATAATGTCGCGTGTGGGTCAGACGGGCCGTCAGGGTCGCGCAGAGGTCAAGTGGGTACTGGGATGGAGTCGTGGTACGGCCAGAGCGGCGGTTTGGGTCACGTTGGCGTCAAAGGAGGGCTGGGATTGGCTCGTGTCGGGGTCAGAAAGACAGATGGGTCGTGCGGAGGTCAGGTGAGGACTGAGACCGGGTCGTGGCGTGGTAGGAGGGATAGACGGGGTCGTGTAGAGGCCATGCGAGGGCTGGGACTGAGCCGTGTCGGGTGAGTGAACAAGGACGTGTGAGAACAGGGTGAGATGAGATGAAGTTCCAGAGCCGTGTTAGGCGGAGGTGAAGTGCATGTCTGAGCCACGTTGGAATCGGATTAGCGCTAATAATGAGCTGCTCCGGAAAGATTTGAGGACTGGGATGGAGAAGCGTCAAAATCTGGTGAGACCTGAGCGAACCGTGCTTTTGGAATGAGATTTTGAGAGCCGTGCCGCTGGCATTAGACAGAGAACCATGCTTCTGTGCCAGATGATATTTTTGTCAACGTGTGCAGCGTTATAGCCGAGTGGGACCTGTGTTTCAGCTGCGTCGAACTCAGGCGGCCCTTTGTCCCTGAGATATATCGGGTCTGGGTAGTGCGTATTTCGGGGATGGTTGAAGTTCGAGAGGGAGCAAGAATCTCTCAAACTGCAATGTTGCAATTAACGTTATACCTCTATGTTGCACGTTAGATATCGAAATGTTGGGCTTTGGAGGACTGGATCATCTGTTCCGGGGATCGATTTCATTTGACAGCGTTGGGGTCAGGTGGATCTGTGTATAGCTCGCGCCATAGTCAGGTGGCCCATGAAGCGGAGCCAGGTGGGAACTGAGTTGGATTCAGCTGACACCTTTGTCGCTGTCAGGTGGATGCCGCATGTGGGCCATGCGTGTATCCTGCCACAGCTGCATCCAAATCAGATGGGGTCTGTGTGCGGCTCCCATCGGACCTAGGTGGGACTGATTGGGATCATGACGGGGTCAGGTAGGACCAGTCTCCGGGCCAGGCGGAACGCCTCCTCTGAACTGTGTCGACCCTCCTGGTTTGCTGACTGCCACATCTCTGGGAGAATTTGGAGCTGCTCAGAGAAGGGGCGTTACTAGCGGAGGGGCTGTGCGTATAGGCTTTGGTCCTCGCATGACTCTCCTGGCAACACCGACCGTTATTCTGTGCTTTAACGGGGTGGCCCGCCCACAGTATCAGTTTGTCCCCAAAGATTATCGATTCGTCCATGATGTCACGTACTGGTGACGCCCCTGCTTTGTAGCCGCCATGGGGTTATGAGACAGCACTATATGCCTATTTTCAGCACTAGCTGACCCTTCAGTTTCCGGACAGATTGCATCTTGTTTTTATTTGGCTGTTTAGAAACCATAGAGACATGGGTAACCCGGGGACATACAGACTAACGAGATACCCGTCCCAGCTCGCTAACTCGAATCAGGCGCCATGCACCTCACGCACTCCAATCTAAAAATGGAACCAATTGAGAGAGAGCACTGGGTGAAGTCGGCCGTGCAGACGGCGCTTCGTATGCAGGGAGAGCTTGCGGTGGCGCGCCGATCCTGATCACCGTTAGCAACAGGTGGTTATGCTGGAGCAGACCGGCCGGCCGTCTGCGGGCAGCGGGGTGGGAAGTGAGCAGCGGGAGCGTGCTGGAGCAGACCGGCCGGCCGTCTGCGGGGAGCGGGGTGGGAAGTGAGCGGCGTGAGCGTGCTGGAGCAGACCGGCCGGCCGTCTGCGGGGAGCGGGGTGGGAAGTGAGCGGCGTGAGCGTGCTGGAGCAGACCGGCCGGCCGTCTGCGGGCAGCGGGGTGGGAAGTGAGCGGCGTGAGCGTGCTGGAGCAGACCGGCCGGCCGTCAGCGGGGAGCGGGGTGGGAAGTGAGCAGCGTGAGTGTGCGGCTGCGTGCACAGATATTATCACCGTTAGCAACAGGTGGCCGTGCTGGAATACACCGGAGCTAGGATCAACCGAGTGCTAGGGGACCGAAAGCCGTAGACGAACGCCACCTAGTGTAATGTGCTGCTATAAGTGCGCGCTTGAAACATGCTAATAAAAGTGCTTGATTGAGGAAACAGACTAATGTTCATTTACAGAGGCTCTTGGGTGAGGTACGTTCAGCGAGCGAGACGAATTAACATGTTGTTACGAGACAGCGCACTGCTTGGAGACATACAATTGGTTTATCAACCTGTGGGGATAGCTCACATTTGCAGCCGGAACGTCACCGGCTATTTCCGACCATTTTTTTTAAAACCGAGAAGTAGAATATGCAACGTGCATTAGGCTGCTAAACTTATGGTTGCAGAAGACACGGACGCTAACGCGTACCGATGTACTAACACCTGCAAATCGCTCATTGCTTCCCCACGCATCACTCGGTTGCATGCGCTGAAGCAGCAACTGGAACAACGCAAGTCAGCCTCGGCGGCGCTGGCAGGCCGCCCGACACAGAGCCGTCACGAGCGTGCCTGCGACCTGCGGGTGTCCCCCCCCCCCCCCGCCGACGCTGACGCGGCAGCATTAGCGCGCCGCCCGATGCGGGCGCCGCGTCGCGTCGTGGCCCCCGGCCCGCTCGCTATATTCATGTCTGCCGGTTTGCAGGGACGGTATGCCCCGGGGCGTCCTGCCACCGGCGGCCCCATACGCCGGCCGCGTCCTGCTGTGAAGACAAACGGCCATTGAACCACGCCCAGGCCCGTGCCGCTGCATACGGCCGGGGCGCGCGCGGCGCGGCGCCATAAGTGCGCGTCTGGTGCTACCGGCGCACCAGTCGGGCTCACAGCGCCGCCGGCACCAGTGGCACCGGTGTGTGGTGAGTGGTGAGGGTATTTTTGGTGGGTCTCCGTATCGTGTGAGCGGTGGCGGTGCCGCGAGGTGGGGACGAAGGCCTGTGGGTACTTCGGTAGGTCTGCATTGCCGACA